AGTCTTTAGCCCAGGGGTCGTTTCATAGAAAAAGAGCTAGGGGGACTCATTAGCATAACTCATTAGCATATGCCACACCCCCTGACATCACCGGAAGGCCCCATGAGGGGCCCGGCGGTGGACCTGCAAGGCCGGCGGGAGTGGAAGGAAGCCCCGCGAAGCCCCTCCCTGGCCCCAGGCAGGCAGGGGTGGGGAGAGGCAGGGAGGGAGCAACTTACCCTCCCTCTTCTCCTGCCTCCTCCTGGCTGAATGAGGGCCAGAAGCGGGGCGGCCGGAAGCAGGGGGCGGGGCTTCGTCATGTGCCCCGCCCCCCATACCTCACCCGGGGGAACTGCGACCCCCCGCGATCCCCCCCCGAAATGACCTCTGCTTTAGCCTCATCTGGACGCCCACTGAAGCAAATAGGATGCTGGATAAAGCAGACTATGGATCTGATCCTGCAGCGTGGTGTTCTGTATAATCCTTTGCCCCTAACCAATGCTCCCTCAAAGCTGTGAAGTCTTGTGAGCAAAAATTCTACTTTGTGAGCTACGGGCATTAAAGCTGTGAGCAAGCAATTTGCCTGCTGCATAAATTAGTTTGCTCTGGAGCCCTCCTTCCTGAGCCAAGACCAAAGTGTGTGAGCTGGAGGCTAAAAAACTGCGAGCTAGCTCACACTAACTCGGCCTAGAGGGAACACAGCCCCTGACTCTCTCTGGGATGGTCTGATACTCATTTCCATTAAATCCCTGCCTCATTTTTTGGGCTTTTGGGCGAATGCTTCTTTGCCCTCCCCGTTGAGCGAACAAAACCTGGATGTGTTTGAATTGCACCTTTCCAGCAAGGAGAACACCCAGCTCTCGTGTGAACTGAAATATTCAATTAAGTAATAAGATTTTTAAAAGAGACAGTGACAAAAAACTGTTAACAGCAAGTTTACCGACACCTGTTTCAGAAATGGGTGCAGAACAGGCTATTAGCAAAGTCAATGAATGCAGCGTAAATGAATTGCAGAGTAATTAACGGCAGGCGGAGAAGAGCCATCAGCAGTGAGTAATAATGTGTGCGTGTGCGGTGTGTGTGTGTGTGTTTTGGGGGGTGCTGAGGCGTCTGCCCTTGGTCTGGGGACAGGGATATTACAAGCATGGACGGCTACAAGCATGGACGGCTTCAAAAGCGAATTGGATAAGCATATGGAGCAGAGGTCCATCAGTGGCTATTAGCCACAAGGTATAGATAGGGACTCTGGGGCAAGTGATGCTCTGTCATCTTGGTGCTTGGGGGGGTCAACAGTGGGAGGGCTTCTAATGTCCTGGCCCCACTGGTGGACCTCCTGATGGCACTGGTATTTCTGGCCACTGTGTGACACAGAGTGTTGGACTGGATGGGCCTTTGGCCTGATCCAACATTGGCATCTCTTATGTTCTTATGTTCTTAAATACAGAAGAGTTTCCATGTTTTCGTCTGTGAAATGCTGGAGGCATTGGGGGTAATGGCATTGGCATGATTCCCACCCACGGAATGCATCTTTGTCACCTTCCTCTTCCCACGGCAGCCCCAAATGATGCTGGAAGTGACCCCCCCCTTCGAACAGCATTTAGATGAGGGCCGTTTCCGGCTGCCAAGGGAGCCAAGAGGCTCCAGAAGTAGAAATCCTCGTGCCCGTGGGGAAAACAATGGGCGAGTCAACGCTTTGGTCTTCTCATTGCTTTTTTCTGTCTAGACACCATATCCTTCTTCTAAGGAGCTCTGGGCAGCCTGTGTGGGACTCCTTCCTCATTCTGTCCTCACAACAACCCAGTAAGGTAGGTTGGATTGAGAGAGCGTGACTGGCCCGAGGTAATCCAGTGAGCTTCTCTGGCAGAGTGGGGATTCGAACCTGGGTCTCCTGGACCGTAGCCTGACACCCTAACCACTACACCACCGTGGCCCTTCCACAACTGTGCCTGTCCAGCTGCTTCCCCTTTCCAGCTGTCATTCTAGATATCTCTAATAATTCATAATTATTGTGTGGCATTGTATGTAGAGTAGCCAGGAGATCCTAAGCTGGTCTGGCAGCTGGAAGTTCTAGCTCTTTCAGCATTATGCACCACTAGGTGGTGAGCTAGACTTGTTTTTAAGGCAAGAGACGTTTCAGAGGTGGTTTGCCATTGCCTGCCTCTGCGTCACGACCCTGGTATTCCTTGGAGGTCACCCTTCCAAATACTAGCCAGGGCTGACCTTGCTTAGCTTCCGAGATCTGACAGGATTGGGCTGGCCTGGGCTAGTCTAGATGTCTCTTTGCAACATTACAGTGTGGTGTAGTGGTCAGAGTGTCAGACTAGGACCTGGGTTAAGATCCGGCTTCTAGTCCTCACAATGACATGGAAGCTTGCGGGGTGACCTTGGGCCAGCCACACAGTCTCCGTCTAACCTACCTGATGGGGCTGTGGTTGTTGTGAAGATAAAACACAGGAGAGGGGAATGGTGAAAACCACTTTGGGTCCCCGTTGGAGAGAAAGCCAGGGTATGAATGAAGCAAATAAATAAATAAATAAAACCCTGACCGTCTGAATACTGGTTTTGTACCAGTAGAAAAGAGCAAGAGTCCAGTAGAACCTTAAAGACTAACAACATTTGTGTCAGAACAGCGATTGAGTTCAGTGGCACCTTTAAGACCAACAGAGTTTTATCCAAAGTCTAAGCTTTCGAGAGCCAGTTTGGTGTAGTGGTGAAGTGCGTGGACTCTAATCTGGGAGAACCGGGTTTGATTCCCCACGCCTCCACTTGCACCTGCTGATTTGACCTTGGGTCAGTCACAAGCTCTGGCACAGCTGTTCCTGAAAGAGCAGTTTCTGTCAGAGTTCTCTCAGCCCCACCCAACTCACAGGGTGTCTGTTGTGGGGAGGGGAAGGAAAAGGGGTTTGTAAGCCGCTCTGAGACTCCCTTGGGTAGTGAAGGGCAGGGTATAAATCCAGTCTCCTCTTCTTCTTCGTATGCATGCACGCTTCTTCAGATACATAAAAACGAAATTATCAGTCCATACATCCATTACAACATAATGAAGATGTTTAATAGATTCAAGGACCAAACCGGAGTAACCATCTTAGTTAATAAGGTTACCATTTGTTTGGGTTGAATTCTGGGGGAGAACATAGTGAAGGAAATAAATATGTCAAAATTGGAGACTGATGGGCAGATGTATCCTTAATTGTGGAATGCTGAGACTGAAGAAGTGAGCAGTGACTCACGAAAGCTTGTGCCCTGCCACATATTTTGTTAGTTTTTAAAGTGCTGCTGGACTCTTGCTCTTTTCTAGTGCTACAGACACACTAACACGGCTACCCGTCTTGTTTTTATACCAGTTATACGTTAAACATTGTGTAAATTTAACAGGGGGGGGGGACATTCAGCACGAAAGCACAGAAAAATGCCCCCAAAATGAAGACTCGAGGTTTCCAGTCTTGCAACGGAGAAGCAAAATCAAAACACAGATTTTCAGTTTCAGCGGGGATGAGAAATTGTTATTCATCTCTCGTTTCGACTGCTTTCCCCCCACCCCTCCACCCCTGCCTTCCCCATTTTGGAGTGTTCGGTTTTATTATCTCTCTGTTGGTTCTATTGCTCCCTATTAGCCAGAGAAGGCCACAGGTTATTATTTTAATATCCTTTATCAGCTGGACTTTTTAGCCTTAATGTGCATCTGTTTATTTCCTTTTATTGTGTTCTTTAATGATTGGGTTTTTAAACCCGTGCGGGAGCTTCCTTGAGGGCTTTTCTGCCGATAAGGTGGGTGGTTAGAAGCTTTGATAATAAATAAGATGCCTGCGACGTGCGTCGTCTGAAATCAAAATGTGGTTTTGCTTCGGGGCTATTGTCGGTGCTCCTGGGCAAAAGAAATTGATTAAGGGAGTCTTTGATTAAAATCCATGCGGAAAGTTGATTAAAGCCTGATTTAAAGAGGATCCTTGCAAGGCGAAAAGGGGCTTCGCCGTGTGACTGCACGGGTTTGGGGCCATGCGTAAAGTGCGCTGCCACCTGTACAAAGTGCCGACTGTGCCGGTGTGCTAACCACGCGCGCGTCCCTGGAAGGGCTACTACGGATCTCTGGCACACAAACGAAGATCACGCAACTGCTTTGCGAGGTTTACGGCAGAGTTTAAACAAGGCCCTGAGCCTGCATACTGTCACGGGGGAAATCTCTTTAAACTCTCTAAAGCTCTTTGTTTAAATTAGGCCTTAGATTGTTTTAATGTGGGGAGAGCCCCAATTATTAACGTCTCCCTTCTCTTGATGAGAATGCTGTGCCTACCTGGATGGGTCTTTCTAACAGGAGAGTTTGACTTGTATCGGCTCACCCAAACACTAGGGTTGGGGTTGTGGTAGCATGGCCTCCCTTCTGGCAGGAAGGGTTACCAACCTCCAGGTGGTAGCTGGTGATCTCCCTCTAAGCTGTGGAGTCTTGTGAGCAAAAATCCTACTTTGTGAACTACTGGCATTAAAGTTGTGAGCGAGCAATTTGGCTCCTGCATAAATTAGTTTGCTCTGGAGCTCTCCTTCCTGAGCTAAGACAAAAATGTGTGAGCTGGAGGCTAAAAACCTGTGAGCTAGCTCACACTAACTCAGCTTAGAGGGAATACTGGTTACAACCAGTCTCCGGGCAACACAGATCAGTTCACCAGGAGACAAAGGGCGACTTTGGAAGGTGGACTCTATGGCTTCATACCCCATTGAAGTCCTTCCAGACCCCGCCCTCCTCAGGCTCCACCCTCCAAACTTCCAGGTACTCCCCAACCCAGAGTTGGCAATCTTGAATCTCCAGACTACGAGGATCAGTTCTCCTGCAGAAAATGGCTGCTTTGGAAGGTGGACTCTACGCCATTATACTCTGCGGAGGCCTCTCCCCTTCCCAAGCATCTCTGTCCCCAGGCTCCTCCCCCAAATCCCCAGGAATTTCCCAACCTGGAGTTGGCAACCCTACTGGCAGGCCATCTCAGGGTTGGTGTACCGAGCTGTGACTTTTCCTTGTCTCCTCTCCGCAGTGGGAAGAAGTGAGCGGCTACGACGAGAACATGAACACGATCCGGACTTACCAGGTATGCAACGTCTTTGAATCTAGCCAGAACAACTGGCTGAGGACCAAGTATATCCGGAGGAGAGGGGCCCACCGCATCCACGTGGAGATGAAGTTCTCCGTACGGGACTGTAGCAGCATCCCCAACGTCCCCGGCTCCTGTAAGGAGACCTTTAACCTCTACTACTATGAATCTGACTTTGACTCTGCTACGAAGACCTTCCCGACCTGGATGGAAAACCCTTGGGTGAAAGTGGACACCATTGCGGCAGACGAGAGCTTCTCTCAGGTGGACCTCGGGGGCCGGGTGATGAAAATTAACACCGAGGTGCGTAGCTTTGGGCCCGTCTCCAAAAATGGCTTTTACCTGGCCTTCCAGGACTATGGAGGCTGCATGTCCTTGATTGCTGTCCGTGTCTTCTACCGCAAATGCCCACGGGTGATCCAGAATGGAGCCGTTTTCCAGGAGACGCTCTCTGGAGCCGAGAGCACTTCTCTGGTGGCTGCGCGGGGCACTTGCATCCCCAATGCCGAAGAGGTGGATGTACCCATCAAGTTGTACTGCAATGGCGACGGGGAGTGGTTGGTGCCCATTGGGCGCTGCATGTGTAAAGCTGGCTACGAGTCGGTGGAGAACGGGACCGTCTGCAGAGGTAGGTGGCCTGCGCCAAATGCTTCTTAGATTCTATATTGGGTGCTTGGAAGGAAACAAGATGGAGATTTCCGTCTCTTGCTCTCTCTCAAGATTTGTTTCATTCAATGAGAACCGTTGTGGCTTAGTGACTCCGGCATCAGATTGGTACCAGAGAATGTGAGTTCAAATGTGCTGAGCCGTGAAGCTCTATGGGTGACCTTTGGCCAGTCTTCCAATCGAACCTAACTCACAGAGTTAGGGTTCCAAGCCTCCAGGTGTGGCCTGGAAATCTCCTGGAATTGCAGTTGATTTCCAGATTTAAGAAGTCCGTTCCCCTGGAGAAAATGGCTTATTTGGAGGGTAGACTCAATGGAATTATGCCCCACTGATTGCCCAAGCCCTGCCTTCTCCAGGTTCTAACCACAAATATCCATACATTTCCCAACCTGGAGTTGGCAACCCTACACATGGTAGTTATGGGGAGGAGATAATCATGTATCCCATACACAGGCATTTTGGAGAAAGGATTGGGTTAAAAAGGTGATACATTGTTTGGTGGAAACTTTTAAGTAGGGCTGGGTAATTACACTTCCGGCTACATTGCAGGGTAGGCTTGTGTTTGGCCTTACGTCTTAGCTGTAAAGAGTTAGCCGTCAATGTTCCCTCTAAGCTGTGGAGTCTTGTGAGCAAAAATTCTACTTTGTGAGCTACTGGCATTAAAGTTCTGAGTGAGCGATTTGGCTGCTGCATCAATTAGTTTGCTCTGGAGCCATCCTTCCTGAGCGAAGACAAAAATGTGTGAGCTGGAGGCTAAAAAACTGTGAGCTATCTCACACTAACTCAGCTTAGAGGGAACACTGGTAGCCATATGTATCATGGTCTTCTGTTGATGTTTCATGCTGTGCTATGATTGGCCGGTGGCCTCAGGGGTGGGGCTTCCCTTATGACCGAGTCATCTATTGGTTCGAGGTTAGTATGCCTATCTGGTCTCTCCTCCCTTGTTTTGTTGAACCATTCTGTATGTGCCAAGATGGAGTTCTGTCTGTCTGAAGGAACATGAAGCATTGACTAGATCTTTTTCATGCCTGGAACAGCCCAGACCGATTCTTTCCCATCTAAACGAGCTATTGATTTAAAAGGCTTTATGGAGAATTCCTGCATGGAAGTTGACTGAGGACCAAAGCAGACACTACGAATGCCATTTTAGAGAAGAATTCAGCCATTTTGGGCCCTCATGACATTTTTAAATAGACATATTCTTCTCTAAAATGGCATTAGGGTCCACCGGTCAGACCTGTGGAAACCATAGCATATAGTTTGATCCTGAGTTATTATTTGAGGAGAGATGTTGGAGGCCATTTTGTGTGTTTGTTCACCTTTTCTGCTGGTGTATTAGGGTTGTCAAGTCTACTTACCTTGGTGGCGGGGGAGCCTCGCCGGGCTCTGGGAGCTCTCCGGCAATGCGTGCGCGTGCGCCGCCAGCACGTCACAGGAAGTGACGCACTACGTCGCTCACGTTGGGGGCATGGCCCTGATCCCTCCGACGACCGGGGCCACGCCCCCAACGTGAGCGACGTGGCCTTAAATGCTCCGTGGCGGCGGAAATCGGGCCTCCAAAGCGGGGGTTTACCCGCCCCCACTTGGCAGCCCTATGGTGTATAGGGTGTAAGTGTGCTGTGGTGGTGGAGGTGGTGAGTCTCATTGTCACAATCCCAGGTATGTACATCTGAGGTGACCTGAGTCTTCCCCCTCCTCCTTGATCTGTCTTCAAGTTTCAGGTTGGATCCAGACACTTTTTCTCCTGGTGATAAATGAAGGCAGCATCCCCTTTAACCACCAAAAAATGTTATGTTAAGGACTACAGGGACTGCATATATAAAAGCCATGTGGAACAGGGTCTCTAGACTAGTGAGGAGGGGCTTTTTGGCATCAGAGCGAGTGAGAAAGCTGGCTCGGTCTGACCCTTCATTTTATACCGTTGTTGTCCGTGGTTTCAGTTTGCCGCTCTTTGCTGTTGGCTTTAGAGTCTCATTTGTTTTGTGCACACTTCCTGTATGGCTTTTATGTGCAAATTGATATGTACAAAATACACAAGTGGTGTATAATACCGATTAATTGATGGGCAAGTAACACTAAAAGAGGAGTATCTTTTGGTGGAGATAATTCAGGGCAAAGAACTATACCACCCTTTGAGTCATTTTTCTCCGCTAAAAAGCCTGGAACACAGTTTAGCTTTTCCTTCCCGACTTTTGATCATCCGGAAAAGCCTGGAACACAGTTTAGCTTTTCCTTGCAGGGAAGGCTCCCGACTTTTGATCATCTGGCTTTCCATTTCCCTGCACCTTTTTTCAGCTCTACAATGCCTCTTCGGCTTGAGGTTTTAAATTTAGATCACAGGTGTTAACTAGCTTAGCACAACTTGCCAATTACCGTGCTCATGAATGGTCCTTCTATCTTCCTTGATTACATTTGAATTTTACATAATTGCCTCTCAGCCTGTATTTCCTACCTTCCGTGGCCCTTTGACCCTGCTGTTTACAAATGTTTTTCTTCATAATCGCCTAGCGAAGATCCGCTGGAGGCATCTCTTGAAGCGGCTTCTAGTCGACAAAAGCTTGCGCTAGGATGCACCCATCTTTAAAAGTGTCTGAAGTCCCGTTTATTTTAGAGACGAGATTGCCGAAGGCATACACAGGTATCTGGATCCTGCCTCTCCACTGAGCAAAGTTTAGGCTTTTCAGAAATCGCCTGTCAACCAGCAGGAGGACTTATTGGGGGGAGGGGTGTGTGGCTCACCAGCAATGTAATGATGTGGCCAGTGATTCAGTGATGTCACTTCCCATGTGCCTGGAAATGATGTCAGTGTGTCGACAGGGGGTGCTCTAGCATTTGGACAAAACTCTAGAGTCTTGCCCAAATGCTAGCGCATCCCCAGCATCCCCCAGCTCTCTTCATCAGATACAAGTTGGAATGGAGATTTCTGAGTCCTTATATCCCAGTCAGAAGGTGGGGAGGGTTGTTGCAAAGAAGGAACTCAGGATGCAGCAGTACAATGTGCATAGTAATTAGATTAATTATAATAGAGGGGGAATGCTTGGGGGGGACAGAATATTAGCATTTGTTGTGACATAAGAATCCTGTATCCCTATTTAGCCCAGGTGGGCGTGAGGATCCATTGTTCTGAATTTATGAATGAACTCAAGTCCAGCAATCTCATGTTGTAATCTCCCCTTGAAGCTTCTCCTTTTGAGGACTCCCAGGTCAAAGAAGACGGGGACGGCAAAGGATGAGATGGTTAGACAGTGTCATAGATGCAATGAACATGAAATTGAGCAAACTTCAGAGGACGGCGGAATACAGGAAGGCCTGGCATGATCTGGTCCATGGGGTCGCGAAGAGTCAGACTCGACTGTGCGACTGAACAACAACAACTCTTAGGTCAGCAGTAGAATGACCTGGAAGATCAAAATTCCCCTCACTGGTTTTTAGGGCTAGGATCTCCAATAAAGAATTCTCAGCAAAAACTCCAGGATACTTTGCACAAAGCCGCTGCCGTTAAACCTATTTAAAACCTGCAGATATGTTTCCCAAATTCTCCTTATCCCAATTTCCCTGTTGTCTTTTGGAGTTTGGTAGTTCCTGCTCTTCCAAAGTGGAACTGATACGTTAGGAATTTTCCATTTAGCACAGAGAGTGTATCTTTCAGTTACTTTCCATCTTTCCCCTTCTTTATGCTGCTGATGTGTATGCATGCATTGATAAAGTGCAAAAAAGTAATGTGTTGTGTTCTTTTCATGCAGTGTTAAACCAGTGGACAGGAACACCAGTATGCACTGGCAAAAGAATCTGCCCCAAAGCTGCTTTTTTTGCATTGTGTCAGTAACGCGGGAGATGATATGAGTGAGCTGCACAAGCCCTGATTCCAGAACTAACTTTGAAAACTCTCCTCCTTTAGGAGGAATGTAACTCAACCCAGAGTGATATTCTCAAATCTGAAACAGAGCAGGAGACGTTGGTTCATCGCTTCAAACCAGTTTTACTAGGTGGAGTATAGATGTGCCATGTTGGAAGATAAAAGGAATTAACTTGGCCATATCCGGAAATCAATTGCCCATGAAACCTCCTGCGTCTCGTGTAGCCAGCGTCCTTCTTGAATAACCGAAAGAGAACTCGAAGAACTTGGAAATGGCCGGAGACCAAAAGCGGTCTGAACCCAAACTATTAGCAGCCCTGTGCCTTGAGAGCTCCAGCTGGCATTCTGTCAGGGCCGTTTGGCTTCAGCAGCAAAGTTTTATAAATCTTTTTCAGGCGCTGCTGGTGCCTTAAATGCTTCGAATGTTTCCATCGCCCCTCTGAGCAGGGGAAGCTGGCCAAGCCCTACTTGGAAGATCGTGTAACTGTACTCCCAAACTGCGGTTCAGATCCAGAAGGCTGCAGCTCAGGCAGGCCCGCTGCTGTCAATTTAAGGTAGACAGAAACCGACAGCTCAGCATGCAGCGGTCTCCATCCCTTCTCCTTCTCGGGAGGGGCTGTGGCTCAGTGGCAGGGCACGTGGTTTGCAGTCAGAAGGTGCCGGGTCCAGGCCTCGGCTTGGGCACCTCCTGTTCGGAAACACTGTTGGCTATCGGGACAGAGAAAACCGCTCAGACTGCAATCCTTGCTAGGGATGTGAAGCTTTAGCTCTCCTTTCCCTCCTTCCCCCCAAAGCCCAAGTACTTCTTTCCCCCATGGGCAAACAATTGAAATGTGGAGAAAAACATGCAATCCTTTCGTTGCAGGCAGCGGCTAGGAAGGTTCACTACTGGCTGCCACCACTCTGGTATGGGTCTCCTTGGAAGGGCTCAGTAAGGCTGCCAAGTGGGGGTGGGGGTGGGTACCCCCCACTTCGGAGGCCCGATTCCCACCCCCGCAGAATCGGGCCCTGGGGGGAACTCCGCCCCCCGAAGCGCACCGTGGCTGCGTCACCAGAGGTGACGCAACCACGTAGATCATGTTGGGGGCGTGGCCCTGATCGTCGGA